TCTGCGAAGGCTTCTCTTGTCCCACATAATCACAGCAAAAACATGGATGGCTATTAAACCTTTAAGGACTTCTTAATTACGACTATTGACGATTATTCAGATATTTGATGATTTCTCAATTAATATTACGATGATCAATAATACTACTTTCATTATTCCCCACATTTCTTGGTTCTTCCCCCGAATCATACAATGTGGTGCCCCCAAGATACGAGTTTGTAAATCCCATGAACTATAGATATGTCTATCATAAACCCAAACGTTGTTGGAGTTATGTTCACCAACTTAGCTAACTCAAACTTGCATCAAATCCCATAAAATCACCATGTTGGTTGGTGAAATTGAAGTCCATAAAAAATCTTAATTTTTTGTGGGTTAACTCACCATCAAAAAGTGCATTTTCTCATGGTTTCACCGGCGACTTCCCTTCCCGTTCCGCTCGCCGAGCCGCACCACGAAGGACACCCAGCGTGGCGTCGAGGCGCGCTTGAAGCTCAGCTGACACCGCGCCTGCGGGGCATCTGCTAAAGTACAATTTTAATTGGGGGCCATGATATTAATAATATGGGATTAATATATGGTTGATATGGTTGAATAATATATGGTTATTCCAATTGGGAGTAACTGGGAAAAATCAAATGGGGTTGATATGCCTATATGCCTATATATATATATGTATGTATACATACACATACACGCGCATACAGTAACGATCAGTAATCTTATATTATACCTGCAGTCAACTGCAATAATTGATTGAAATCAATTATTCATACCAGAACTCATCCCAATTGTTATTATCCCAATATTGAAATACCAGTTCATTGGGAAGTAACATGCATAGTTGCGACCTATATATTTTGTTATCTGATATGGGATTGATATATATATATATATGAGTCAAAACCTGGAAAAAAACTCGGTAAACCCCAAGATAGCTGGGATTTCTGGATGTTCATCCCTTCAAACACCATGGATGAAAACACATGATGGAGGTATCAATAATCATGGTCCAATCAATCACATATTTTTCACCAGGTTTGGATGGTTTCGTTGCTTATCCATATAGAAATCAATTGTTTTCAGGGGTAAGTTACTGTGAACCACAAGTTTCTTGAGTTAAATCTCATGAAAATCAGATGTTTTCATGAAACTATCCCCCTAAATCACTACATTGCTGATTTTATGAAGAGATCCCGCATGAATCCCCCAGATTTTCGCGGGGAAAATCCTTGAATCACAATTCCTATCAGTGAAATCACAACTACATCACCGTTTTCCATGAAACTCCCGTGCAAAAAGGGGTTTATTTTCCGATTAAATTACCGTTGTCCTATTACATCGCCCGCGACCATCGTCCGAGTACATTGATTACATGAAGTCTTTATTTTTCATCTAAATTCAGCTAGCAGTTCAATCACCCATTGAGTCCATATTAAATCACACATGGATCCTTATTACCCCATTAACTCACTCATGAAATCCCTATTTTTGATAGTAAAATCCTGATTTTGATGGTTAAATCACCATTCTTCATCAGTCTTGATGGTTTTTGTTGGTAAATCCATCATGTTTTGGTCAAATCTCATTGTGACGGTGAACCTCAAAAAACTAGAATTCAATATGTGTCATAAATCAACATTTTCCTACAGAAATCCCACGTTTTTTTCGCGTTTCGCGTGGGTCGAGGCGCCTGGCCGGTCAGCTTGACCCGCGCCGCCACGTCGTCGAAGGCGGTGGAACCCGGAGGAAGTGGGCCGTCTGAGAGCGGGGCCCCCAAACGTGATGTGTGTTGGTTTATACATCCAATGAATACTATAGTTATTGGCTATCAAACAACAATTGGAATTATGGGGAATATACATCCCATATTTGCTATGGTTTATACATCCCATAATACTATAGTAATATAATTCCGATAAGTTATTTGCGTATCAAAAACCATACTTATCGGAATTATAAATCAGCTTAGCTACCTAGGGAGGACCCATTGGATTTTATGGGATTTCATGGAGGAAAATAACGTGATTTCATGGTGGTAATGGTGATGGAAATTTGATGAGCAAAACTGGTGATTTTAGAATGACTTAACCAATAGAAATGGGGAAATTATGAGGGTGTAATGGAATTTCATTAAAAAAATGGTGATTTAGTGGGGTTTAAACATCAAACACAAGGGGATTTCGTGGGATTTAACCATGAAAAATAGGAATACAACCAGGACGGGGACATAGCCAAAAGTACAAGGCTTATGTGGAGATCCAGCTGTTGGAATTCAATCAAGAAAAATGGTGCTTCTATAGTCACTTAACCAATAGAACTGAAGATTTAACAATAAAAATGATGTTTCAAGTATTTTCAAAATGATGTTTCAAGTATGAAAATGGTGAAGCATGTTGATGTAACCAACAGAGATATATAGAGGATATAACAATATAATCAACAGTAAACGGTTTATATGGTTTTACCTAGCCTTAACAGAAAGACACTGGAATTGAGC